AACTCATGCGTAAGTCATAAACATCTATTAGCCTGAAATGTTACTAGAATCTCTTGTGTTATTCTGCTGCGAAGTATACTCATCGGCGAGGTATGCTCAGATTGGGATGGTGTCAAGAACAGATGCCAGTGATCTGAGAAATATGTAAGAAACTTACCTCTATCTTGTCTTGACAAAGCAGTCTGGAAGAAAGTAAATCCTGCAAAAAATTTTTCTTCCATGGGAGCTGTCTAATGACTCTGTACGCGTTGGATGACGACGTAAAATTTGGATGCATTCCGTGAAAGCAGATCCGTTGTCGACGAAGAATATAACCTCGGTGGGAGAACGAAACACCGTCTTTCGTAGAAACCATTTCAGATTTTACAGTTCTAGGCTGTTTTGCTGCTTAGACTTTGTTAGCCTTGTGTGGTGATGGTGACAAAACAGTAGCGATTTAAATATTGTCATTTACTGCCAATTCCACAATGATTTGCCGCATATTGCTTGCCGCCTCGTGACTGCTCAGCTCTTGTCCCTCTGTGAGTCTGTTTCCTCATTTTCTTTTTTGACAAGTTGACGAGTCCCTTTTTGTCACATTTTTACTCATTAATTACCACAGTTTGAATAACGATAACCACATATGATCATTTTTAACGCTTGGCATTATGATGCTCAAGCGAAATAGCTCATTAAAACATGCATACCTTATTGGAATGCGTAAGTTTTAGTCGAATCTGCTGAATTTGTTAATGTTTTCATCTAGGCGTCGATCGAACAGTTAGTATTTGTCTGGTGATTTTGCATCATAATCATTTCAGGTGCAGAAAATCGTGAGAAGTCAGATGAACTTAAAGAATTCTGGGCATCGAAGTTTCTCGTCTAGCTGGCAGGAAGTTCACTCATCGCTTCTTGTGCAGTTTTTTGGGCCAAATTTGAACAAGCAACTGTCGTTGGAAAGTTTCTTGGACTTCAGGCAGAGATTGAACTGCACCATCTTGAAATATGAGGTGTGATTTGTTTGTTTAGCCCGTATTGAGGAGGAGCGCTTACTTTTCGCCGTATTTTTTTATAGATATTTCCTGTTCGACAAAATTTATGTTTCCAACATTCACGTCGGCAGATGTATTGCAGAACAGAGTTCAATATAGGTGTACCTCGTTGAGACACACCTGTTCAAACATAACCAGTTTCAAGCAGACATTTTCAAAAAAGTTAAGCAGGGGCAGTGTGGAGAGTTCCACTGTTCAAACTTTGTTAGCCTAAGACACGACGGCTACAACAAAACTTTCAGATGAGCCGGTGTATGAATCTTCAGTTTGTACGTTCATGGTTCGAGCCAGCGTGCTTTGTCATTTGCTAGAATTAACATTATTTTACTGGGTTAAAACAGTGAATCGGCAACCCGAAGACTTGTTCAGATGATAGCGCTGAATCGAGAACAGTTTTAAACGTTATTATGTCAACATAATTTGGAATATTCTTAATATGTTATCCGTTTACTATTTCCACCGTTGGTCAAGCAGTTTCACTCGTCTCCTGTCGTGGTTTCACATGACCGGCTCGACCTTTGTGATCAGCAGAAAGCATTTGTAACGCCTGACCTTCATCCATTGTTACTCAGACCAGGCATCTTCTCTTGGCATCGTAGAAGGCAGGGATTTCGTCTGTTAATCCAATAGTCATCGAATTTTTGCGTTCGGTACGTGGTTCCGGAAGAAATCCTTGCACATCTTTCATTAACATTCAGCACCGTAGATCAGGGAGGGTAAACCTGTTGATTCGAACAGTCCTTTCCGTTTTCGTATGGGCAGCGAGTTATGATGTTTTACTGTGATTAATCCTGATTAATGCCCCCTTCCTTTTTCTGTTGATTTCTTCGTCTAACGATTACATGTGATCCATATGACAGCCAAGATATACATAGTTGGTTACTTCTGTTATATATTTAATACCTCTGGCTATTCGCTCTTCTAAACCTTCATTAACTGTTGACCGACCAATCATAATATTCTGAATTGTCTGATAATCTTCGTTTTCAGTTTCTGCATTGGTCAGCGACCGACAAGCAGACGGGGGAAAGCAAGATCAGTGATGTTGATTTCGCCAAAATGCTGCTCATGCATTCTCGTTTGTCGAAGACCAAACAAAGAAAAATGATTGCACGAGTGAAGAGACTCTGCGTCAGAAAACCACAGTATTCCACAACCGGCGGCTTCCAGTTCAAAGAAGTGTTGACGTTTTTCGAATTCCTCAACGAACTGACGGACGTGGAGACGGCGCTGCAGTTTTATCACTTGGCCGGCGCTGCTATCGATCAGGCAACCTTCCGACACATTGTGCATAACGTTGCGAACAAACCACTCAGTGACCACATGATTGACGTCATATTTAACCTTTTCGATGAGGACCGTAAGCCTTTAATGTTATATGCTCATTGTTTGTATGCTATCGTTATTGTTTATTGCGTTTTGTCTTTAATCAGCAATAACATTATGAATTATTTTCAGAGGACGGCAAGCTGAGTTACAAGGAGTTCGTGAAAGTGATGAAACGGAGGTTCAAATTCGGCTTCGCCAACAGTAGGGAACTCGGCATTTTCCGACGACTGAATGACGTCTATTCGTATTTTTATAACCAGATACGACAGCGAATGTGATGTATTTCTCATTTTTTCGCATTGATTGAAGCTGCTTGCCAAAGTTTCATTTATTAATTTATTTTTTGTTATCATGAATTTCGATTTCGATTCGTTTACACATTGTGAGTCAGTAAAGTAGATGATTGGCTTACCAGCAGCTGTGATTAGATCGCGCGAGTTTGTAGCGCTCTGATTCAAATTCTAGATATATAGAACTGTTTCACCGTCAAGATAATGAAGCCAAACATGTGAGGCAGAGCGAAATGTCGCTTCACGAACAGCTGGTTATGGCCAAAAGGTATTAAATATCACAATGAGCATTTCATACAAGGTCACTTCATCACTGAATCCATGTATTTTTATATTTATGCTCGCCAAACGTCAGATTTGCATTGGAAGCACTAAATTCTTTGCATCATTCCAGCGCTGAACATTTTTGGAGTAAAAATGTAAGTTAATGCGTTTAAAAACGTTTTAAATTTGTTAATTGCTTGTGTTTATCTCGACAGGTGATTCGGTTTTTTACACGCATAAAATGCCACGTTTCATTTTTAACGAAACTCTTTGAACTCTTTATGTGGGTAGAATATTCCTCATCCGCAGAATTTTAACGGGTTTGTTTCGCATTTATTTATTAATCGTAATTTCGACGTTTCAGATCGAGCTTGATTCATCTTCAGGTGGCATTTTATAGCAACAAATACATAAACCGTTAGTAACTTTGTGGCTTTCTGTAGAATGATGTTAAAGTGCAAATGCGACTCATAACAGTCATCGTAGTGTACTTTAAGTTGACAGATTATGCATTGAATTAAAACTGATTAACACTGCAGAAATAACGGAATGTTTAAGGGCCTGATTATGAATTTCAATTTTATGTTTAAAAGTGACTGTGTCAAAAGAACAGCCGATTCGGTTTTATGCATCCTAAGAAAGACCTCCAAAAAGTTAGGGTAACACTCCCTTTATTCCCGTACTTCAAAGGAACTATGTCTTTATCTTACGGGTCGTAATTTAAATGCGTTGTTCAGTGAGGTGACTGTTGACTGAGGCCTGTAGAACACCAAACGTTTTTTGTTCAGTATTGTTTATTTGTTCACCGTCGATCATTTCCTTTTCATTGCTGTATGAAGGCTTCTGCAAGACTTTGCCATAAACTTCTACTTTCGTCCATTTTTATCTAGCAAATCTTTTACGTAATAGTACCATAGATCTGAATGTCTTCCTAAGCATCGTTTACTCCATGTAAGAACAGAATTTAATGTGTCTCTGCAGAGATTATCGGTTCTTCTTGCAACGTTTCCTGTCTACTGACACGCTAACTTCTTTGCTCATGAAGACTTGTTTCGGCTCCTATCCATTCATTCGTCTTCCCATCTTTTCTTTTTCTCCAACGTGCATATTTCCGTACCGCGTTGCGTACTCCTCAGTTATTGACAAGCTTTCTACCATTTCGTACCCAGAAATTGACGCTTGAAGTACACACTGGTCAGATACTTTTCATTTCAAACAAAAAGGCAGTTTCTCGGATAGGAATGTTTTCAGTCATCGAAAAGTGGTCCATGTCATCTAGTGTTCTATTGATTTGAAACAGTGGTTTCTTTGTTGCAGCTATAAGGTAGGCCAGATAGAAAGTTTTGCACCTCCTCAAGCCAAAATCCGTCGATCTCATTTGGTCGCACGGTCATATATTTGTTAAGCATGATCTGAATGTTCTTCATGACCATTTTCAGTTGTACTTTCGTGGCTTCGTTCAACTATTGGATTCTTCTTTGGGCTTATGCTGC